TCTAAATAAACATAAAGCAATTCATTCAGCACGAAACTTATATGAGTGTGATGTTTGTCATAAAAAGTTTACCACCAAGTTTAACCTAAATAAACATAAAGCAATTCATTCAGCACGAAAGTTATATGAGTGTGATGTTTGTCATAAAAAGTTTACCACCAAGTTTAACCTAAATAAACATAAAACAATTCATTCAGCACTAAAGGTCACATGAGTGTTATGTGTGTCATAGAACGTTTACTACAAAGATTTTCCAAAAATCAACATGAAGCTATTCATAGAAAAGTACCATATAAGTGTGATGTGCGTCATCAAGGGTTTTCTTAATATAAAAAAATAAAAACAAAAAAAATTCATGTCATCGCATGAGTGATTTGTGCTATTAAAAGTTTGCTACAAGGATTAATCTTTATCAACACAAAGAAAGTTATACGGCAGAGGTTGCATGAGCGTAATAGAAAGTTTCTGTTGATAATTACTCTAAAATGCCATCAATTAATTGATTCAGAAGTAGGTCAAATTAAACATTTAGGAATAAAGTATGTGTAAACAAACTCATTCATAAATAGATTAAATTATATTTCTATACTGTAAAATGCTGCAAGGGGGTCAACCTTTTATGACCTCCACAAAAATGTTATCCACTTTCAAAGATCCTCCCCTCCCTCTTTTTTTTCCATTTTTGATATACATGTATATATATATGTATATATATATATATATATATATATATATATATATATATATATATATATATATATATATATATATATATGAAATTATTTAGGTTTGTGTAAATTAATTCACAAAAAAAAGACAATTCATTGTGAGGGTGTGGAATTACCCCGTGTGTTGATTGAATTACCCTGTGTGTTGATTGAATTACCCCATGTGTTGATTGAATTACCCGTGTGTTGATTGAATTACTACATGTTACCCTACCTGTTTTATGTTTGCTTAAAAATGTTCAACACATATTTCGACTACTTCAACATTAAGTTCAACATGTGGATGCAGTCAATTTTTTGTCTCTCCCCACCCCCCACCCCTTGTGCTGACTTCATACATGGATGACCCCTAAGCAATAGAGACGAGTATAACATAGTTCATAATAAAGTAAGCTATTATCAAGCAAGTTATTTAAGAGAGAGGTCAAATTTATTTTCTTAATGTGTAAACACTAATCTTTATTTCTTATGAGACTTTAAACTTGAAATAAATTAAAACACACAAAAAAACAGATAAACAATGCTTTTTATCCATTTGAAAATATAAAATTTGATGTTCTAAAGCAGAGGAAATCTTTTCCTTAGAGAAAACTGTAATTGACATTTTTTTTTACAAAAAAAAAAAAAAAAAAAGACTGCTGTGTGTGTCTAGTCTTAGCAAGTTTACTTATGTGCATTTGAAAAAGATTCCTTTTTATTACTATTAGTTTTAGTGAAATTATTAGTGAAACTTTTGCATGATCTGTGTGTATAGTTATGAATATCATCCATGTTGAGCATGATTTCATTTTTGCAATTCATTTAAATTATTAAATCTAGACCATTTGTTTTCTACTTCCTTTGATAATCTTGTTAAAACTTCATTAAAATCAAAACTTTTTTTCATAATAAAGTGTTATGTTTTTTTTCCTGAAAAGCTGGTAATTTTATATCTGTTTGTACTGCAAGAGAGCAGAGGCGTAGCGACCCATATCGGGCACCCGACATGAAGTTTCAATTTTGTGACCATCTCCCATTTATTTATATTTATAATTATTCATGTTAGTGAAAAAAACGCCCTTCCCCAGTTGAAAAGGTTGGTGGCGCTTTATACCAGTCACTCGTTTTTCAACTTTTTGCTTCAGTGCCACACTTTGACTCCGTGTAATAATTCATTACCTCAACTTAAATTGAGCTTTAAATTATTTTTACCTCTTTTTTTTTTAGTACCCCCTTAGTGATGGCGCTCGGGGCGGCCGCTCCACCCGCCCTCCCTTAGCTACGCCATTGCGAGAGAGTGAGCTTTAATATTATACTGGTGATGTAACTGATATAACTTTTGAAATTAATGTTTGAATATTTTAAAATTCCAAATAAATAATTAATACTTCTTTACTGTAAAAGGTATGTCAGCAAACTTGATATTCACAATCTTAGAATCATGAGTTGTTGACAAAAAATATAGATCTATTTTTAAAAAAAACGTTTGAGGTACGTGTATGAGGTCGTCCATAAATATATTGGACATCAAACACACTGGGAGGTGGGGGGAGGATTTTTGTAACTAGGAGGTGGGGTTCAGAAAGTGATCATACACTCCGTATTTTAAAGTAATGTACACTGTCTCAATAAACTATCCGTATGATTAAAAATAGATCCAATCAGCAATCCTATTTAGTTCTACGTCTACCAATCGCGATTTTCATCCTAGAATAAGGAAAGACAACACTGTTCTAAAAATAAACCAGCGAATCAAACCAGCGAAGCTATTTTATCAATGTATTTTCTGAAAGTAGTATGTCATAGAGAAGACAAAACGTAGACAGCGGTCTATGTTAGGGGGCATCCATAAATGACGTCACGCTTTTTTTGACGATTTTTTACCTCCCCTCCCCTCCGTCACACATTGTCACAAAAAACCAGACCCCCACCTCCAAAATGACGTCACACCTCAGTCTACAACGCACCTTAAAATTGCAGCTGAATTTTTCTTAAAACATCGTGTCCAAACGTCTATAGTCTATATAATATAATCTAGTTAAAATAATTGAGTAGAGATACAAAGCCCCAGCTAGGTTGATTTTGGTTGATCTTATTTTTGTAAACACATGTGACATTTCTCACACTTCACATTCTAAATCAAGGGTTTGTGATTTTTTTATTTTATTTCTAGATCTAATCTAAATCTCGATCTAGGCCTTTAGTATATTTAAAACATTGGGTAATCCATCGTTTTAGGCACGTACAATCGGCCCCAGGCTAGTCTGACTAGCGAGAAAGGTGGCTCACTTACTTATTATTTATTAATTAATTAATAATTATGTTAATGTTATTAATATTATGAATTATGGCTTTAGTACAAGTATATTATATATTTGTGTGTCAAATATAATAGATAATTGAATAATAAACCAAATGCAATGTCTAAATATATCAATAAAGGCTAGAAATTGACTTAAAACAAGAGCAAGATTTGCTATATAAAAAAGAGGCTATCTGCAAATAAGAGTGGTTTCCCCTGAATTTCTAGCTAAAATCATAAAATGTTACCAAGAAACTTAAAACAAGATGGCTTCTAAAGTAAATGAGCTTGGTTGCATCTGATGAAAACATCGCTAATCTTTATTTATTACTGAAAGAAAACTTTAATACAATTGTTTATAAACAGGTACATGAATGAAGGGTTGAAACATTTCTGTAACCTTTACTAGCTACATAAATCTTTCTAAACATGTGAAAAAAATTACAAAAATTTGATGAGTCACCCTTTTTTCTCATTTACTGGCCTCAGCCGATTTTACGTACCTAAATAATAGATTACCAAACATATCTACTAGAATCTAGATCTAGTTGAAGGGGCAAGGCATAGCCACACAAATTTTGAAATTAAATTAATAATTAATAAATTAAGCAATGCAACTCTTGAACTCACACACTAAACAAAACAACTGTCAACTGAGTCTAAAAATGGAGGAGTGCCTGAGTCCACTGCTAGTAGGTCTAGTGCTAGGCCACTAGAAACTCTAGTCTAGTGACTAGTCATAGTACTTATATATATAGTGTAGCATATGTATACACTGCTGCTAGCTACTATCCTGTAAGTGAGAATCCCTATTTGCAGTGCTTACTAATAAACATACTATGTAGTTTAGTAGTACCACACTACTACACTATGTTTTAATAACACATGGCATAAGTAATATAGGTAGCTGAAGATAATAAAAGTCACATCATATAGATCTAGTTTCAATTGAAATTTGAATTACAATACAATTATTATGACTAATTAGTAATTAATATTCAATAATACATTTTGTTTAATATGTTGCCTTTTAGCCTAACCTTCTCTTAAAATGTAAGACTATACATATTTCAGATATAAGATAGGTCTACTCATTTTGAAAATGCTATGCAAAACTAAAGTAGGTCTAACTGCTGTTTAGACTCACAAAAAATGCAATAGATGGATCAAAGTAAGGAAAATTAATTTCATTTTACTCAGAACCCATATAAAATATAGAGAATAAAGAGACCCTTTGCTCAAATTCATCTTTTTTTTTAAAATATGTAGACTTCTCAGTTATAATGCCCATACTTTATATTTTTATTTTTGAAACAATATGATAATAGTAATTCGGGGTTGTTTGGTTCTGTGTCAATAAGTGCCATCCATAAAAAACTTGGAGTAAAATAAGATTTCAGACCTAACATATTAATAATGCAGATGAAATTGAGTTCACCTGAATCTATCAGTGTGTGCTCAACAAATAAAGAAATAGTCTGGTTTGTTCTGTGTCTACACATCTTTACTTTCCCTACCTTAAGTCAGGTGTCCATCATAGCTAAATTAAAAACAAAACAAAGTACCTGAGTGGAAAATCATGTATTAAAAACAATTGTGCATAGAATATAGAAAATAATATCATGTTTTAATTATTTAGCCATTTTTATTATATCCAAAATAGGACCCTAATGGAAAACTATGAATAAAGCACTTGTGTTATGATGAGATCACAGCACCAACCTAGAGGCCAGGCAGTGGAATAAATAGGTAACTCTTCAGTTGTTATAACACTCAGAAAAACTAGTAGTGTGTGACTACTCTTAATATTTATGACACAAAAAGCCTCCATTGTAATGGTGTTTGACATAGGTGTTATGTTTGGCTTATTGTGAAAAGAATATGCATAGCCGCATAAGTCAGCTTTCAAGTTTTTTAAATAACATTTTTATTTATGTTTCTTGATTATTTCTGGAAATATTATTTAAAAAAAAAAATGTAATTATTTAGTTATGGAGCTAAAGGATAGAAAAAAAAGAGAAGCTGATATAGAAGTATTACCAAGTGTTTTAGAGATCAAGCAAGAACTACATGTGGACAACCAGCCATATATTGTCAATATAATTTCATCTGAATACATAAAACAAGAGGAGTTTACAGAAACTGATGATACAAAAGCAATTGTATTGTCAACATGTGAAAACAAAAATCATGATTTATTATCAGAATTTACAACACATGTAGACAACAAACCAGATAGACTTGATAATGATATATTTTCTGTTTTTGAAGATATAAAACCTGCTGGTTTGAATGCAGGTTTAAACATATCACTAGAGACAACTCTTATTGACAATATTGCTAATATAAAGACAGAGATATCAACTGATTCATCAGAGCTTAAGGATATGTCTATAAATAACAATGAAAATCCAACATCTATTCAGGTTGTATCATTAAAGAAGTGTAAGAAGAAAAACTTAAAATCTTCAATGTTTAAAACTCTTCGAGTAAAATGTAAAGAATCACACACAGATGCTAGGTCATATAAGTGTAATGTATGTCATAAAAACTTTGCTACAAGAAGTAAACGAAATCAACATAAATCTATTCATTCAGAAGAGATGGTTTGTGGGTGTTATCTGTGTAATCAAAGGTTTCCTTTAAATAGTAAACTCAACCAACAAGTTCACAAAATAGTGAGAGCACAAAAGTGTGATGTGAACCATAAAATGTTAGGTTCAAAGAAGAAACTAAATCAACATAAAGCAATTCATTCAGGACAGAGGCTGCATAAGTGTGATGTTTGTCATATAAAGTTTACTAGAAGAAGTAACCTAAATAAACATAAGCTACACATTCAGTGGATAAGTCACATGAGTGTAATATGTGTAATAAAAAGTTTGCTACTAGGACATATCTAAAACAACATAAAGCAATTCATTTAGGAGAAAGGTTACATGAATGTGGAGTCTGTCATAAAAAATTTACTACAAGTGGTAATCTAAATCAACATATATCTATTCATTCAGCGGAAAAGTCACACAAGTGTGATGTATGTGATAAAAAATTTGCTTCAAAGAGGTATCTAAATCAACATAAAGCTATTCATTCAGGAGAAGGGCTACATGAATGTGATATATGTCATAAAAACTTTATTAACAGGACCAACCTTATTAAACATAAAGCAATTCATTCAGCAGTAAAGTCACATGAATGTGATGTATGTCATAAAATATTTACTTCAAAGAGTAATCTAAATCAACATAAAGCAATTCATTCAGGAGAAAAGCTGCATGAATGTGATGCATGTCGTAAAAGGTTTTCTAGAAAGTCGTCCCTAAACCAACACAGAGCAATTCATTCAGCCAAAAAGTCTTATGAGTGTGATGTATGTCATAAAAAATTTACAACCTGGACTTACCTAAATCACCATAAAGCTATTCATTCAGAAGAGAAGCTACATGAATGTGATGTGTGTCATAAAAAGTTTTCTAGAAAATCCTCCCTAAAGCTACATAAATTAATTCATTCCACAGAAAAGTTACAAGAGTGTGATGTATTTGCTTCAAAGACTCATCTAAATCAACATAAAACAATTCATTCAGGAGAGATGGGACATGAATGTGATACATGCCATAAAAAGTTTACTACCAGTTCTACTCTAATTAAACATAAAATAATTCATTCAGCAGAAAAGTCACACGAGTGTGATGTGTGCCATAAAACATTTACTACCAAGGGTAACAGAAATCTACATAAAACAGTTCATTCAGAAGAAAAGCTTCATGAATGTGATGTGTGTCATAAAAGGTTTTCTAGAAAGTCTTACCTAATGGAACACATAGCAATTCATTCAGCAGAAAAGTCTCATGAGTGTGATGTATGTCATAACAAATTTGCAAAAAGGACTAACCTAAATCACCATGAAGCTATTCATTCAATAGAGAGTTTACATGAATGTGATGTGTGTCGTAAAAAGTTTTCTAGAAAGTCCTACCTCAGGCTACATAAATTAATTCATTCCACTGAAAGTTTACAGGAGTGTGATATATGTCATAAAAAATTTGTTTCAAAGTGGAATCTAAATCAACATAAAGCTATTCATTCAGGAGAAGGGCTCCATGAATGTGATGTTTGTCATAAAAAGTTTACCACCAAGGGTAACCTAAATCAAAATAAAGCTATTCATTCAGGAGAGAGGCTACATGAATGTGATGTTTGTCATAAAAAGTTTACCACCAAGGGTAACCTAAATCAACATAAAGCTATTCATACAGGAGAGAGGCTACATGAATGTGATGTTTGTCATAAAAAGTTTACCACCAAGGGTAACCTAAATCAACATAAAGCTATTCATACAGGAAAGAGGCTGCATGAATGTGATGTGTGCCATAAAAAGTTAAATACCCGTTCTTCTCTAATTAGACATAAAGCAATTCATTCAGCACGAAAGTTATATGAGTGTGATGTTTGTCATAAAAAGTTTACCACCAAGGCTAACCTAAATCGACATAAAACAATTCATTCAGCACGAAAGTTATATGAGTGTGATGTTTGTCATAAAAAGTTTACCACCAAGTTTAACCTAAATAAACATAAAACAATTCATTCAGCACAAAAGTTATATGAGTGTGATGTTTGTCATAAAAAGTTTACCACCAAGGTTAACCTAAATCGACATAAAAGTAAAACAATTCATTCAGCACTAAAGGTCACATGAGTGTTATGTGTGTCATAGAAAGTTTGCTACAAGGATTTTCCAAAAATCAACATGAAGCTATTATGGAAAAGCACCATATAAGTGTGATGTGCGTCATCAAGGGTTTTCTTAAAATAAAAACTAAATTGACATAAACCCATGGCATCACATGAGTGATTTGTGCTATTAAAAGTTTGCTACAAGGATTAATCTTTATCAACACAAAGCAAGTTATACGGCAGAGGTTGCATGAGCGTAATAGAAAGTTTCTGTTGATAATTACTCTAAAATGCCATCAATTAATTGATTCAGAAGTAGGTCAAATTAAACATTTACAAATAAAGTATGTGTAAACAAATTCATTCATAAATAGATTAAATTATATTTCTGTACTGTAAAATGCTGCAAGGGTCAACCTTTTATGATGTCCACCAAAATTCCCCCCCCCCCCGACTCCCCCCTTTGTGGACCTCTACAAAAATTTAGTATATCTTGCAAAAGTCACTACCAATTGACTATTTAAATACCTAAAAACTGACACATACTTCGACTACTTCAACATTAAGTTCAACATGTGGATGTAGTCAATTATTTTGTCTCTCCCCCCCCCCCCCACCCCACCCCTAAGCAATAGAGACAACATGAGTATAACATAGTTCATAATAAAGTTAGCTTTTATCAAGCAAATTATTCAAGAGAGGTCAAATTTATTTTCTTTATGTGTAAACACTAATCTTTATTTCTTATGAGACTTTAAACTTGAAATAAATTAAAACACACAAAAAAACAGATAAACAATGATTTTTATCCATTTGAAAATATAAAATTTGATGTTTTAAAGCAGAGGAAATCTTTTCCTTAGAGAAAACTGTAATTGACATTTTTTCCCAAAAAAAAAAGACTGCTGTGTGTATCTTAGCAAGTTTACTTAAGTTATGTCCAAAAAAATCTGAATTTTTTTGTGCTTCACAATGTCCATTTGAAAAAGATTCCTTCTTATTACTATTAGTATTAGTGAAATTTTTGCATGATCTGTGTGTATAGTTATGAATATCATCCATGTTGTGCATGATTTCATTTTTGCAATTCATTTAAATTATTAAATCTAGACCATTTGTTTTCTACTTCCTTTGATAATCTTGTTAAAACTTCATTAAAATCAAAACTTTTTACATAATATAGTTTAATTGTTTTTTCCTGAAAAGTTGGTAATTTTGTATGTGTTTGTACTGCAAGAGAGCAGAGGCGTAGCGACCCATATCGGACACCCGACATGAAGTATCAATTTTGTGACCACCTCCCATTTATATTATATTTATTCATGTTAGTGGGAAAAAACGTCCTTACCCAGTTGAAAAGGTTGGTCGCGCTTTTTTACCAGTCACTAGCTTTTGCTTTGTTACTACTTTGACTGTGTATAATAATTCAATACTTAAGCTTAAAATTTAAATGAGCTTTTAAATATTTTTTTTACCTCTTTTGGCACCACCTTAGTGATGGCGCTTGGGACAGCCGCTGCGAGAGAGAGTGAGCCTTAATATTATACTGTTGATGTAACTGATATAACTTTTAAAAATAATGTTTGAATATTTTAAAATTTCAAATAAATAATTAATACTTCTTTACTGTAAAATATATGTCAGCAAACTTGATATTCACAATCTTATAACCATGAGTTATTGACAATCAATAATTATTGGGAAAAATTTTTGCGGTACGTAAAAGATCGTCCATAAAAACAAACCATCGAATCAAACCCGCGATGCGATTTTTATCAATTTATTCTCTGAAAGTAGTATATCATATAAGACAAAACGTAGACAGCTGTTTATGTTATAGTAAGTTCAAAAACCAGAGGCCTAGCTAGGGCGCTTTTTCGCGACTAAAATCAGAAGAATTAAAAAAGGTGTTATGTTTGGCATATTGTGAAAAGAATATGTTTAGCTCCATAAGTTAGCATTCATGTTTTTGAAGAACATTTTAATTTATGTTTCTTGATTATTTCTGGAAATATTTCAATTTTTTTTAAAATTATTTATTTATTTATTAGTTATGGAGCTAAAGAATAGAAAAAAAAGAGAAGCTGGTGTAGAAGCTTAACCAAGTGTTTTAGGGATCAAGCATGAGCTACCTATATAAAAAACTCTTCTAGTAAAATGTAAAGAATCACGCACAGATGTGAGGTTATATGAGTGTAATGTGTGTCATAAAAATTTTGCTACAAGAAGTAAACTAAATCAACATGAGACTATTCATTCAGAAGAGGCTACATGAATGTGACATGTGTCATAAAATGTTTTCTAAAAGAGCTTATCTAAAGAAACATATAACAATTCATTCAGCACAAAAATCACATGAGTGTGTTGTGTGTCATAAAAAATTTACCATTAAGGGTAATCGAAATCAACATCAAATAATTCATTTCCCAGAAAAATTACAAGAGTGTGATATATGTCGTAACAAAATTGTTTCAAAGAGTCATCTAAATCAACATAAAGCTATAAATACAGGAGAGAGGATACATGAATGTGATGTGTGTCATAAAAAGTTTACTACCAGTTCTACTCTAATTCAACATAAAGCAATACATACAGCAGAAAAGTCGCATGAGTGTGATGTTTGTCATAAAAGGTTTTCTAAAAGAGCTTATCTGAAGCAACATAAAACAATTCATTCAGGAGCAAAATCACATGACTGTGATGTGTGTCATAAATAATTCATTTACCAGAAAAGTTACAAGAGTGTGATGTATGTCATAAAAAATTTGTCTCAAAGAGTCATCTTAATCAACATAAAGCTATTCATTCAGGAGAGAGGCTACATGAATGTGATGTATGTCATAAAAAATTTATTACCAGTTCTACTCTAATTCAACATAAAGCAATTCATTCAGCACATAAGTCATATGATTGTGATGTTTGTCATAAAAGTTTGCTACAAGGATTTATTAAAAAATCAACTTGAAGCTATTCATTATAGAAAAGTACCATATAAGTGTGATGTGCGCCATCAAGGGTTTTCTTAAAATAAAAAACTAAAAACATAAAAAAATTCATGTCATGGCATGAGTGATTTGTGCTGCTTAAAGTTTGCTATAAGAGTAATCTTTTCAACACAAAGCAAGGTATACAGCAAGGGTTGCATGAGTGTGATTTGTGTCAAGGAAAGTTTCCTTTAATAATGACTCTAAAATGCCATCAATTGATTGATTCAGGCAGATGATAGATCAAATTAAACAGTTATGAATATAATAAAGTATGTATAAACAAATTCATTCATAAAATGATTAAATTATATTTGTAAAGTGTAAAATGCTATTTATGATGTCCACAAATATTCCGTCCAATTTTGACGAACCTCCAATCCCCCCCCCCCCCTCCCCGACATCCACAAAAATATAGTAGATCTCGCAGAACCTACTACCAATTTACTATTGTGTACCTAAAAACTGGTATACGGCTTTAGTATTTTCAATAATTGTTGTTAGGCTTAAATATCAAAAGTAGAATCTAAAGATGTCTTTATTTAACACAAGTAATGTTGTTTTATTTCACTTTTTATATGCAGGATACCAGTTAAATGTTTGTTTTAAAATGTTAGTTCTTCAACATTAAGTTCAACATGTGGACTTCCGCGTGGACCCAACCAATTCCCCCTTCCCCAGTTCACAAAAGTCAATTTTTTTGGACTCTCCCTCTGTGTGGACTTCATAAATGGATAACCCCTAAACAATACAGACAACACGAGAATAAAGTGTTTCATAATAAAGTTAGCTTTTATCAAGCAAATTATTCAAGAGAGAGGTCAAATTTATGTTCTTTTTGTGTAAACAAAAATCTTGATTTCTTTATGAGATCTTAAACTTGAAATAAATTAACACACACAAAAAAACGATAAACAATGCATTTTATCCATTTTAAAAATATGAAACCTGATGTTTTAAATCAAAGAAAATATTTTCCTTAGAGAAAACTGTAAATGACATTTTTTTTCCCAAAAAAAAAAAGACTGTTCTGTGTGTCTTAGCAAGTTTACTTTAAAAAGTCCTGTAAAATTTAAAAATACTTCATTCAGAAGAGAGGTCATTGGTCATATTTAAGTTACTTCCATTAAAAATCTGATTTTTTTTTTTGTTCTTCACCACGTCCATTTAAAAAAGATTCCTTCTGATTACTATTAGTATTAGTGAAATTTGCCTGATCTGTGTGTAGTATATAATTATGAGTATCATCCATGTTGTGAATGATTTCATTTTTGCAATCGTTTTATTTAAATCTAGAATTTTTGTTTTCTACTTCCTTTGACAATCTTGTTAAAACGTCATTAAAATTAAAACTTTTTACATAATATAGTTTTAATTGTTTTTTTTCTGAAAAGTTGATATTTTGTATATGTCTGTACTGCTAGAGAGCAGAGGCGTAGCAACCAATATCGGGCACCCGGCTTGAAGTATCAATTTTGTGCCCACCTCCCATTTATATATATTTATTCATGTTGGTGGAAAAACGCCCTTCCCCAGTTGAAAAGGTTGGTGGCGCTTTTTACCAGTCACTAGTTTTTGCTTTGGTGCCACTCTTTGACTCTGTGTGATAATTCATTACCTCAGCTTAAATTGAGCTTTTAAATATATTTTTTTACTTTTACCTCTTTTTTAGCACCCCCTTAGTGATGGCGCTAGGGATGGCCGCTCCACCCGCCCTCCCCTAGCTACGCCACTGCGAGAGAGTGAGCTTTAATATTAATATTATACTGGTGATGTAACTGATATAACTTTTGAAATTAATGTTTGAATATTTTAAAATTTCAAATAAATAATTAATACTTCTTTACTGTAAAAGGTATGTCAGCAAACTTGATATTCACAATCTTAGAAACATGAGCTGTTGACAAAAAATATATTTTAAAAAAAAAACGTTTGAGGTACGTGTATGAGGTCGTCCATAAATATATTGGACATCACACACACTGGGAGGTGGGGGAGGATTTTTGTAACTAGGAGGTGGGGTTCAGAAAGTGACCATACACTCCGTATTTTAAAGTAATGTACACTGTCTCAACAAACTATCCGTATGATAAAAAATATATCATCCAATCAGCAATCCTATTTAGTCTAGATCTACGTCTACCCATCGCGATTTTCATCCTAGAATAAGGAAAGACAACACTGTTCTAAAAATAAACCATCGAATCAAACCAGCGAAGCGATTTTATCAATGACGTCAATGTATTTTCTGAAAGTAGTATGTCAAAGAAGACAAAACGTAGACAGCGGCCTATGTTAGGGGGCATCCATAAATGACGTTACGCTTTTTTTTGACGTTATTTTACCTCCCCTCCGTCACTCCCCTCCGTCACACATTGTCACAAAAAGCCAGACCCCCACCCCCAAAATGACGTCTCACCTCAGCCTACAACGCACCTTAAAATTGCAGTTGAATTTTTCTTAAAAAATCGTGTCTTAACGTCTATATTATATAGTTAAAATAATTGAGTAGAGATACAAAGCCCCAGCTAGATTGATTTTGGTTGATCTTATTTTTGTAAACACATGTGACATTTCTCACGTGTCGGACAAACGAGCAACACTTCACATTCTAAATCAAGGGTTTGTGATTTTTTTTTCTAGATCATTTTGTAATAATAATATTATTAATTATGTTATTATGAATTATGGCTTTAATACAAGTATATTATATATTTTTGTGTCAAATATAATAGATAATTGAATAATAAACCAAAGGCAATGTCTAAAAAAAAAAAAAATATCAATAAAGGCTAGAAATTGACTTACAGCCTTCTGCAAATAAGAGTGGTTTCCCCTGAATTTCTAGCTAAAATCATAAAATGTTACAAAAAAACTTAAAACAAGATGGCTTCTAAAGTTCTAAAGTAAATGAGCTTGGTTGCCAAGTTGCATCTAATGAAAACATCGCTAATCTTTATGTATTACTGAAAAGTTTTAATACAAGTGTTTATAAACAGGTACATGAATGAAGGGTTGAAACATTTCTGTAATTTTTACTACTAGACTAGATCTACTACTACATAAATCTTTCTAAAAATGTGAAATAATTACAATAATTTGATGAGTCACCCTTTTTTCACACTAGCCTCGGCTGATTTTACGTACCTAAGTGATAGATTACCAAACATAGATCTACTAGAATCTGGACCAATTTTCAAGGGGCAAGGCATAGCCACACAAATTTTATTAAATTAAATAATTAATAAATTAAGCAATGCAACTCTTGAACTCACTCACACACTGAACAAAACAACTGTCAACTGAGTCTAAAAATGGAGGAGTGCCTGAGTCCACTGTTAGTAGGTCTAGTGCTAGGCAACTAGAAACTCTAATCTAGTGACTTATAGTACTTATATATATAGTGTAGTATATGTATACACTGCTGCTAGCTACTGTCCTGTAAGTGAGAATCCCTATTTGCAGTGCTTACTAATAAACATACTATGTAGTTTAGTAGTACCACACTACTACACTATGTTTTAATAACACATGGCATAAGTAATATAGGTAGCTGAAGATAATAAAAGTCACCTCATATATATCTAGTTTCAATTGAAATTTGAATTACAATACAATTATTATGACTAATTAGTAATTAATATTCAATAATACATTTTGTTTAATATGTTGCCTTTTAGCCTAACCTTCTCTTAAAATGTAAGACTATACATATTTCAGATATAAGATAGGTCTACTCATTTTGAAAATGCTATGCAAAACTAAAGTAGGTCTAACTGCTGTTTAGACTCACAAAAAATGCAATAGATGGATCAAAGTAGAAAATTAATTTCATTTTACTCAGAACCCATATAAAATATAGAGAATAAAGAGACCCTTTGCTCAAATTCATCTTTTTTTTTAAAATATGTAGACTTCTCAGTTATAATGCCCATACTTTATATTTTTATTTTTGAAACAATATGATAATAGTAATTCGGGGTTGTTTGGTTCTGTGTCAATAAGTGCCATCCATAAAAAACTTGGAGTAAAATAAGATTTCAGACCTAACATATTAATAATGCAGATGAAATTGAGTTCTCCTGAATCTATCCATGGGTGCTCAACAAATAAAGAAATAGTCTGGTTTGTTCTGTGTCTACACATCTTTACTTTCCCTACCTTAAGTCAGGTGTCCATAATAGCTAAATTAAAAACAAAACAAAGTACCTGAGTGGAAAATCATGTATTAAAAACAATTGTGCATAGAATATAGAAAATAATATCATGTTTTAATTATTTAGCCATTTTTATTATATCCAAAATAGGACCCTAATGGAAAACTATGAATAAAGCACTTGTGTTACGATGAGATCACAGCACCAACCTAGAGGCCAGGCAGTGGAATAAATAGTTTACTCTTCAGTTGGCATAACACTGAGAAAAACTAGTAGTGTGTGACTACTCTTAATATTTATGACACAAAAAGCCTCCATTGTAATGGTGTTTGACATAGGTGTTATGTTTGGCTTATTGTGAAAAGAATATGCATAGCCGCATAAGTCAGCTTTCAAGTTTTTTAAATAACATTTTTATTTATGTTTCTTGATTATTTCTGGAAATATTATTTTAAAAAAAAAATGTAATTATTTAGTTATGGAGCTAAAGGATAGAAAAAAAAGAGAAGCTGATATAGAAGTATTACCAAGTGTTTTAGAGATCAAGCAAGAACTACATGTGGACAACCAGCCATATATTGTCAATATAATTTCATCTGAATACATAAAACAAGAGGAGTTTACAGAAACTGATGATACAAAAGCAATTGTATTGTCAACATGTGAAAACAAAAATCATGATTTATTATCAGAATTTACAACACATGTAGACAACAAACCAGATAGACTTGATAATGATATATTTTCTGTTTTTGAAGATATAAAACCTGCTGGTTTGAATGCAGGTTTAAACATATCACTAGAGACAACTCTTATTGACAATATTGCTAATATAAAGACAGAGATATCAACTGATTCATCAGAGCTTAAGGATATGTCTATAAATAACAATGAAAATCCAACATCTATTCAGGTTGTATCATTACAGAAGTGTAAGAAGAAAAACTTAAAATCTTCAATGTTTAAAACTCTTCGAGTAAAATGTAAAGAATCACACACAGATGTGAGGTCATATGAGTGTAATGTGTGTCATAAAAACTTTGCTACAAGAAGTAAACGAAATCAACATAAATCTATTCATTCAGAAGAGATGATTTGTGGGTGTTTTCTGTGTAATCAAAGGTTTCCTTTAAATAGTAAACTCAACCAACAAGTTCACAAAATAGTGAGAGCACAAAAGTGTGATGTGAACCATAAAATGTTAGGTTCAAAGAACAAACTAAATCAACATAAAGCAATTCATTCAGGACAGAGGCTGCATAAGTGTGATGTTTGTCATATAAAGTTTACTAGAAGAAGTAACCTAAATAAACATAAAGCTACACATTCAGTGGATAAGTCACATGAGTGTAATATGTGTAATAAAAAGTTTGCTACTAGGACATATCTAAAACAACATAAAGCAATTCATTTAGGAGAAAGGTTACATGAATGTGGAGTCTGTCATAAAAAATTTACTACAAGTGGTAATCTAAATCAACATATATCTATTCATTCAGCGGAAAAGTCACACAAGTGTGATGTATGTGATAAAAAATTTGCTTCAAAGAGGTATCTAAATCAACATAAAGCTATTTATTCAGGAGAGGGACTACATGAATGTGATGTATGTCATAAAAAATTTATTAACAGGACCAACCTTATTAAACATAAAGCAGTTCATTCAGCCGAAAAGTCACATGAGTGTGATGTATGTCATGAAAAATTTGCATCCTGGACTTACCTAAATCAACATAAAGCAATTCATTCAGAAGTAAAGCCACATAAATGTGATGTGTGTCATAAAAGGTTTTCTAGAAAGTCATACCTAATGGAACACAGAGCAATTCATTCAGCAGAAAAGAAACATGAGTGTGATGTATGTCATAAAAAATTTGCAACAAGGACTAACCTAAATCACCATAAAGCTATTCATTCAGAAGAGAGGCTATATGAATGTGATATGTGTCATAAAAGGTTTTCTAGAAAGGCGTACTTAATGGAACACATATCAATTCATTCAACAGAAAAGTCTCATGAGTGTGATGTATGTCATAAAAAATTTGCTTCAAAGAGGAATCTAAATAAACACAAAGCAATTCATTCAGGTAAGGGGCTACATGAATGTGATGTGTGTTGTAAAAAGTTTTCTCGAAAGTCCTACCTAAAGCTACATAAATTAATTCATTCCACTGAAAGTTTACAAGAGTGTGATGTATGTCATAAAAAATTTGTTTCAAAGAGTCGTCTAAATCATCATAAAGCAATTCATTCAGCACAAAAGTTATATGAGTGTGATGTCTGTCATAAAAAGTTTACCACCAAGGGTAACCGAAATCTACATAAAACAGTTCATTCAGAAGAAAAGCTACATGAATGTGATGTGTGTCATAAAAGGTTTTCTAGAATGTCGTACCTAATGGAACACAGAGCAATTCATTCAGCAGAAAAGTCTCATGAGTGTGATGTTTGTCATAAAAAATTTGCAAAAAGGACTTACCTAAATCAACATGTAGCTATTCATTCAGTAGAGAGGCTACATGAATGTGATGTATGTCGTAAAAAGTTTTGTCGAAAGTCCTACCTAAAGCTACATAAATTAATTCATTCCACTGAAAAGTTACAAGAGTGTGAAGTATGTCATAAAAAATTTGTTTCAAAGAGTCATCTAAATCACCATAAAGCAATTCATTCAGGAGAAAGTGTACATGAATGTGATATGTGCCATAAAAAGTTTACTACCAGTTATACTCTAATAAAACATAAAGCAATTCATTCTGCACAAAAGTTATATGAGTGTGATGTCTGTCATAAAAAGTTTACCACCAAGGGTAACCGAAATCTACATAAAACAGTTCATTCAGAAGAAAAACTACATGAATGTGATGTGTGTCATAAAAGGTTTTCTAGAATGTCGTACCTAATGGAACACAGAGCAATTCATTCAGCAGAAAAGTCTCGTGAGTGTGATGTTTGTCATAAAAAATTTGCAAAAAGGACTTACCTAAATCAACATGTAGCTATTCATTCAGCAGAGAGGCTACATGAATGTGATGTGTGTTGTAAAAAGTTTTCTAGAAAGTCCTACCTAAAGCTGCATATAAATTAATTCATTCCACTGAAAGTTTACAAGAGTGTGATATATGTCATAAAAAATTTGCTTCAAAGAGGAATCTAAATCAACATAAAGCTATTCATTCAGGAGAGGGGCTCCATGAATGTGATGTTTGTCATAAAAAGTTTACCACCAGTGGTAACCTAAATCAACATAAAGCTGTTCATTCAGAAGAGTGGCTACATGAATGTGATGTGTGTCGTAAAAAATTTTCTAGAACGTCATACCTAAAGCAACATAAATTTATTCATTCCACTGAAAAGTTACAGGAGTGTGATGTATGTCATAAAAAATTTGTCTCAAAGAGTCATCTAAATCAACATAAAGTTGTTCATACAGGAGAGAGGAAACATGAATGTGATGTGTGCCATAAAAAGTTTATTACCAGTTCTACTCTAATTAAACATAAAGCAATTCATTCAGCACGAAACTTATATGAGTGTGATGTTTGTCATAAAAAGTTTACCACCAAGGCTAACCTAAATCGACATAAAACAATTCATTCAGCACGAAAGTTATATGAGTGTGATGTTTGTCATAAAAAGTTTACAACCAAGGGTAACCTAAATAAACATAAATCAATCCATGCAGCACGAAAGTCATATGATTGTGATGTGTGTCATAAAAAAATTACCACCAAGAGTAACCTAAATAAACATAAAACAATTCATTCAGCACTAAAGGTCACATGAGTGTTGTGTGTATCATAGAAAGTTTGCTACAAGGATTTTCCAAAAATCAACATGAAGCTATTCATTATGGAAAAGCACCATATAAGTATGATGTGCGTCATCAAAGGTTTTCTTAAAATAAAAAACTAAATTGACATAAACCCATGGCATCACATGAGTGATTTGTGCTATTAAAAGTTTGCTACAAGGATTAATCTTTATCAACACAAAGCAAGTTATACGGCAGAGGTTACATGAGTGTAATAGAAAGTTTCTGTTGATAATTGATTCAGAAGTAGTTCAAATTAAACATATAAATATATATATATATATATATATATATATATATATATATATATATATATATATATATATATATATATATATATGAAATTATTTAGATTTGTGTAAATTAATTCACAAAAAAAGACAATTTATTTTGTGAGTGTGTAATTACCCTGTGTGTTGAATTACTACATGTTTGCTTAAAAATGTTCAACACATACTTCGACTACTTCAATATTAAGTTCAACATGTAGATGAGGTCATTTTTTTTGTCTCTCTCCCCCCCCCCCACCCCCACCCCTTGTGCTGACTTCATACATGGATGACCCCTAAGCAATAGTGACAACATGAGTATAACAAGCAAATTATTCAAGAGAGAGGTCAAATTTATTTTCTTAATGTGTAAACACAAATCTTAATTTCTTTATGAGATCTTAAACTTGAAATAAATTAACACAAAAAAAAAACAACAGATAAACAATGCTTTTTATCCATTTGAGAATATAAAATTTGATGTTTTAAAGCAGAGGAAATCTTTTCCTTAGAGAAAACTGTAATTGACATTTTTTTTTCCAAAAAAAAAAAAAAAAGACTGCTGTGTGTGTCTTAGCAAGTTTACTTAAGTTATGTCCAAAAAAAATTGAATTTTTTTGTGCTTCACAATGTGCATTTGAAAAAATTCCTTTTTATTACTATTAGTTTTAGTGAGATTATTAGTGACATTTTTGCATGATCTGTGTGTATAGTTATGAATATCATCCATGTTGTGCATGATTTCATTTTTGCAATTCATTTAAATTATTAAATCTAGACCATTTGTTTTCTACTTCCTTTGATAATCTTGTTAAACTTCATTAAAATCAAAACTTTTTACATAATAAAGTTTGTTTTTTTTCCTGAAAAGTTGGTAATTTTGTATGTGTTTGTACTGCAAGAGAGCTTAGGTGTAGCGACCCATATCGGACACCCGACATGAAGTTTCAATTTTGTGACCACCTCCCATTTATATTATATTTATTCATGTTAGTGGGAAAAAATGTCCTTACCCAGTTGAAAAGGTTGGTCACGCTTTTTTACCAGTCACTAGCTTTTGCTTTGGTACCACTTTGACAGTGTATAATAATTCAATATTTTTGCTTAAAATGAGCTTTTAAATATTTTTTTTACCTCTTTTGGCACCGCCTTAGTGATGCCGCTTTGGACAGCCGCTGCGAGAGAGAGTGAGCCTTAATATTATACTGTTGATGTAACTGATATAACTTTTAAAAATAATGTTTGAATCAACAATAACTATTGGGAAAAATGTTTGCGGTACGTAAAAGATCGTCCATAAAAATAAACCCTCGAATCAAACCCGCGATGCGATTTTTATCAATTTATTCTCTGAAAGTAGTATATCATAGAAGACAAAACGTAGACAGATGTTTAGCTCCATAAGTCAGCATTCATGTTTTTGAAGAACATTTTAATTTATGTTTCTTGATTATTTCTGGAAATATTTCAATTTTTTTTAAAAATTATTTATTTATTTATTAGTTATGGAGCTAAAGAATAGAAAAAAAAGAGATGCTGGTGTAGAAGCATTACCAAGTGTTTTAGGGATCAAGCATGAGCTACCTGTGGATATCCAGCCAGATATTGTCAATATAATTTCAGCTGAATACATAAAACAAGAGGAGTTTACAGAAATTAATGACACAAAAGCCAATGTATTATCAACATGTGAAAACAAAAATCAGAATTTATTATCAGAGTTTACAACAAATGTAGACAATAAACCAGATAGTGATACACTCAATTTATTTTCAGTTTTTGAAGATATAAAACCTGATGGTTTAAATGCAGGTTTAAACCTATCACTAGAGACAACTCTTATTGACAATATTTCTCATATAAAGACAGAGATATCAACTGATTTATCAGAGCTTAAGAATATTCTGATAAACAACAATGAAAATCCAATATCAAATCAAGTTGAATTATTAAAGAAGTGTAAGACGAAAAACTTAAAATCTTCAATGCATAAAACTCTTCTAGTAAAATGTAAAGAATCACACACAGATGAGAGGTCATATGAGTGTAATGTGTGTCATAAAAACTTTGCTACAAGAAGTAAACTAAATCAACATGAGACTATTCATTCACAAGAGAGGCTACATGAATGAGACATGTGTCATAAAATGTTTTCGAAAAGAGCTTATCTAAAGAAACATAAAACAGTTCATTCAGCACAAAAATCACATGAGTGTGTTGTGTGTCATAAAAAATTTACCATTAAGGGTAATCGAAATCAACATCAAATAATTCATTTCCCATAAAAATTACAAGAGTGTGATATGTCGTAAAAAATTTGTCTCAAAGAGTCATCTAAATCAACATAAAGCTATACATACAGGAGAGAGGCTACATGAATTTGATGTGTGCCATAAAAAGTTAAATACCAGTTCTACTCTAATTCAACATAAAGCAATACATTCAGCAGAAAAGTCACACGAGTGTGATGTGTGTGATAAAAAATTTACTACCAAGGGTAACCGAAATCTACATAAAACTTCTGTTCATTTAGAAGAAAAGCTACATGAATGTGATGTGTGTCATAAAAGATTTTCTAGAAAGTCTTACCTCAAGCAACACAGAGCAATTTATTCAGCTGAAAGGTCTCATGAGTGTGATAAATGTCATAAAACATTTGCAACAAGGACTAACCTAAATCAACATAAAGCTATTCATTCAGAAGAGAGGCTACATGAGTGTGAGTGTGTTGTAAAATGTTTGCTACCAGTTCTACTCGAATTAAACATAAAGCAATTCATTCAGCAGAAAAGTCGCATGAGTGTGATGTTTGTCATAAAAAGTTTTCTAAAAGAGCTTATCTGTAGCAACATAAAACAATTCATTCAGGAGAAAAATCACATGAGTGTGATGTGTGTCATAAAAGATTTACTACCAGTTCTACTCTAATTACACATAAAGCAATTCATTCAGCACGAAAGTTATATGAGTGTGATGTTTGTCATAAAAAGTTTACCACCAAGTTTAACCTAAATCAACATAAAACAATTCATTCAGCAAAAAAGTTATATGAGTGTGATGTGTGCCATAAAAAGTTTACCTACAGGGGTAACCTAAATAAACATAAAACAATTCATTTAGAACTAAAGGTTACATGAGTGTTATGTGTGTCATAAAAGTTTGCTACAAGGATTTATTAAAAATCAACTTGAAGCTATTCATTATAGAAAAGTACCATATAAGTGTGATGTGCGTCATCAAGGGTTTTCTTAAAATAAAAAAACTAAATCGACATAAAAAAATTCATGTCATCGCATGAGTGATTTGTGCTGCTTAAAGTGTGCTACATGAGTAATCTTTTCAGCACAAAGCAAGGTATACAGCAAGGGTTGCATGAGTGTGATTAGTGTCAAGGAAAGTTTCTTTTAATAATGACTCTAAAATGCCATCAATTAATTGATTCAGTTAGAATAAAGTATATATAAACAAATTCATTCATAAATTGATTAAATTATATTTGTAAAGTGTAAAATGCTATTTATGACGTCCACAAATATTCCGTCCAATTTCAATGAACCTCTTCCTCCCCCCCCCCCCCCCGGACATCCTACCAATTTACTATAGTGTACCTAAAAACTGGCATATGGCTTTAGTATTTTCAATAATTGCTGTTAGGCTTAAATATCAAAAGTCGAATCTAAAGATGTCTCTTTATTTAACACAAGTAATGTTGTTTTATTTCACTTTTTACATGCAGGATACCAGTTATATGTTTGTTTTAAAATGTTAGTTCTTCAACATTAAGTTCAACATGTGGACTTCTGCGTGGACCCAACCAATTCCCCAGTCCACAAAAGTCAATTTTTTTGGACTCCCCCTCCGTGTGGACTTCATAAATGGATAACCCCTAAACAATACAGACAACATGAGTATAAAGTGTTTCATAATAAAGTTTGCTTTTATCAAGCAAATTATTCAAGAGAGAGGTCAAATTTATGTTCTTTTTGTGTAAACAAAAATCTTGATTTCTTTCTGAGACCTTAAACTTGAAATAAATTAACACACCAAAAAAAACAGATAAACAATGCATTTTATCCATTTTAAAAATATAAAACCTGATGTTTTAACTCAAAAAAATCTTTTCCTTTGAGAAAATTATGGGACTTTTTTTTTCCAAAAAAAAAAAAAAAAGACTGTTCTGTGTGTCTTAGCAAGTTTACTTCAAAAAGTCCTGTAACATTTAAAAATAATTCATTCAGAAGAGAGGTCATTTTTAAGTTATTTCCAAAAAAAATCTGCTTTTTTTTTCTTCTTCACCATGTCCATTTGAAAAAGATTCCTTTTTTTATTACTATTAGTATTAGTGAAATTTGCATGATCTGCGTGTAGTATTAATTATGAGTATTATCCATGTTGTGAATTATTTCATTTTTGCAATCGTTTTATTTAAATCCAGAATTTTTGTTTTCTACTTCCTTTGACAATCTTGTTAAAACTTCATTAAAATTAAAACTTTTTACATAATATAGTTTAATTGTGTTTTTTTCTGAAAAGTTGGTAAGTTTGTATATGTCTGTACTGCTAGAGAGGCGTAGCGACCCATTTCTGGCACCCAGCTTGAAGTATCAATTTTGTGCCCACCTCCCATTTATTTATAATATTTTTATTCATGTTGGTGAAAAAAACGCCCTTCCCCAGTTGAAAAGGTTGGTGGCGCTTTTTACCAATCACTAGTTTTTGCTTCGGTGCCACACTTTGACTCTATGTAATAATTCATTACCTCATGTTAAATTGAGATTTAAAATATTTTTTTTACCTCTTTTTTTAGCACCCCCTTAGTGATGGCGCTCGGGGCGGCCGCTCCATCTGCCCTGCCCTAGCTACGCCACTGCGAGAGAGTGAGCTTTAATATTATACTGGTGATGTAACTGATATAACTTTTGAAATTAATGTTTCAATATTTTAAAATTCCAAATAAATAATCAATACTTCTTTACTGTAAAAGGTATGCCAGCAAACTTGATATTCACAATCTTAGAATCATGAGTTATTGACAAAAAATATATTTTAAAAAATACGTTTGAGGTACGTATGAGGTCGTCCATAAATATAAAAGACATCACACACACTGGGAGGTGGGGGAGAATTTTTGTAACTAGGAGGTGGAGTTAAGAAAGTGATCATACACTCCGTATTTTAAGTAATGTACACTGTCTCAACAAACTGATTAAAAATATATCATCCAATCAGCAATCCTCTTTACGTCTACCTATCGCGATTTTCATCTTAGAATAAAGAAAGACAACATTGTTCTAAAAATAAACCATCGAATCAAACCAGCGAAGCGATTTTATCAATGTATTTTCTGAAAGTAGTATGTCATAGAAGACAAAACGTAGACAGCTGTCTATGTTAGGGGTCATCCATAAATGACGTCATGCTTTTTTTTGACGATTTCTCCCCCCCCCCCCCCCCTTCGTCACACATTGTCACAAAAAGCCAGACCCCCGCCCCTAAAATGACGTCACACCTCAGCCTACAACGCACCTTAAAATTGCAGTTGAAACATCGTATCGTGTCCAAAATCGTGTCTGAATGTCTATATTATATAGATCTAGTTAAAATAATCGAGTAGCTATACAAAGCCCCAGCTGGGTTGATTTTGGTTGATCTTATTTTTGTAAACACATGTGACATTTCGCACGTGTTGGACAAACGAGCAACACTTTACATTGGAAATCAAGGGTTTGTGATTTTTTTTTTTTTCTAGATCTAAAAATCTAATCTAAATCTCGATCTGGATCTAGATTCTAGGCCTGTATTATATTTAAAACATAGGGTAATTTATCGTAAAGTCGGCCGAGGCTAGTCTGAATGGCGAGAAAGGTGGCTCCATCCATAAACTCCATTAATTTAATAATTAATTAATTGTTATTATTATTATTATAATTAATTATTAATATTATCAATATTAAACAGCCTTGGTTGCGAGCAAGATTTGCTATATAAATATAATAAAATATAAAAAAGAGGCCACATGCAAGTAAGAGTGGTTTCCCCTGAATTTCTAGCTAAAATCATAAAATGTTACCAAAAAACTTAAACAGGATGGCTTCTAAACTTCTAAAGTAAATGAGCTTAGTTGCATCTGATGAAAACATCGCTAATCTTTATTTATTACTGAAAAGTTTTAATACAATTGTTTATAAACAGGTAGGCCCTACATGAATGAAGGGTTGAAACATTTCTGTAACTTTTACTACTTAAATCTTTCTAAAAATGTGAAATTATTACAAACATTTGATGAGTCACCTTTTTTTCACATTACTAGCCTCGGCCGATTTTATGTACCTAAATAATAGATTACCAAACATAGATCTAGATCTACTAGAATCTAGATCTAATTGAAGGGGCAAGGCATAGCCACACAAATTTTGAAATTAAAATAATAATTAATAAATTAAGCAACGCAACTCTTGAACTCACACACTGAACAAAACAACTGTCAACTGAGTCTGAAAATGGAGGAGTGCTTGAGTCCACTGCTAGTAGGTGTAGTGCTAGCAGAGTTTCTTCCAGGCATCTCTTTGGGGGGCAAAGCACCCCCCCCCCTCCCACACCCCCCCCCCCCCCCAAGAAAATTTTTAACCGCCCCCCGAACGAAATAAAACTTATATAATTTATATAGAAAATATATACTTTTAATTTTAACAGTGTCCGCCCCCCGAAAAAAGTCTACCCCCCCCCCCCCAAAAAAATTTCAAGTGCTGCTAACTGGCACTGCTGCTAGCTACTGTCATGTAAGTGAGAATTTCACTATGTTATTAATTATTATGTATGTTGGTTGAGTATGTGATGTTAGTGGATGAGTTTGACAAAAGGCCTTCCATCATTAAAAATTAATTAAACTATTTCTGACCTGAGATAAAATAAAAAATGAAGTGACTAGTCGGAAAAAGCTTTTGCCCTCTAGCCTAGGCTGGTCGTCAGAAGACGCAAAAAATGCAATGACCTAAAAAGGCTATACATGGGCTGAAATTACCCTTAAGAGCTGTGCAGTGGGTTTAAACTAACCTAAGTAGTTGCGCAATGGGCTCATATTACTCTTTTAGCCTTATTCTTCTAACAAAACTAACTGTATCATGTGGTTGAGCATTTACGCTTTGGGTAGATCATCAGGGGGATAGAATCTAGTTTATCTAGAACTAGTAAAGAGATCTACTGATCTAGTCTGTAACTGTAAGTAAAGTATAAAAAAATATTTTTAATAGCATATTTAATATTCCCATCTGCTAGGCCTAATTTTTATCATGTTAATCCCTTCAGGACAACTCATAGGCCTGAACAACGAACATTTAGCATGCACATTTTCTTCTAGCTAGAATCTGCCATTTTTTATACCAGTGTTAATTAATAGAATGCTATGCAAAACTAAAGTAGGCATAACTGCTGTTTAGACTCATGAATAAATGCAATAGATGGATCGAAGTAGAAAACTAATTTCATTTTACTCAGAACCCATATAAAATATAGAGAATAAAGAGACCCTTTGCTCAAATTCATCTTTTTTTTTTAAATATGTAGACTTCTCAGTTAATGATAATGCCCATACTTTATATTTTTATTTTTGAAACAATATGATAATAGTAATTCGGGGTTGTTTGGTTCTGTGTCAATAAGTGCCATCCATAAAAAACTTGGAGTAAAATAAGATTTCAGACTTAACATATTAATACTGCAGATGACATTGTGTTCATCTGAATCTATCCATGTGTGCTCAACAAATAAAGAAATAGTCTGGTTTGTTCTGTGTGTAGCCATCTTTACTTTCCTTACATTAAGTCAGGTGTCCATCAGGTGAACGGAAAAAAGTCACAGGAAAAAAAAACACAGAAAAAAGTCACAGTTTTTGCTAGGAAAAAATGTCACAGAAAAAAGTCACAGTGGAAAAATTTTATCGGAAAAAAAGTCACAGAAATAAAGTCACAGAAAAAAGTCACAACATCTTTTTAGAAATTTTTTATTTATTTGTTAAGAATTGTGAAATTTTGTATGTTTATTGTTGTGGGTTGTATTTTTTGACAGCATAAATTATTAATAGACGTTAAAAGCATTATGGTTTATAACAATTGTAAGTAAAAATACTCTAAGATAATTTACACAACAATCTCAACTTTTGTTACGTATTTAGTTAAATACACGGTAGAAAAGTTAATTATAAAAGAAATTTAGGCAAATTTTGCCGTAGGCTATTCTCTGGTCGGCCTCTGCTCAGTAGGCATTGTCCGAACATATTTTATGTTTTTGACATTATGCGTCAATGACAGCCTTTGAAGCTTGTTGGCTTTCTGTTTTGATCCTAAGTTTTGTTATGTAATGAGCGTGATAAATGTGGGCAGTAAAGGAGGTTGAACTAAACATAACTATTGTTGCCAAGAGTTGAGGGCAGCAAGTCAGATGAACTTACCATTTCACAGTAATTTAATGTTGGTATTTAAAATAAAAAACAACATGAAAACCGTGGACTTTGGAGCATTCTATTAAATGCTACTAATCTTAAGTTTGACATAATTACAATCTACATACTTCATACTAAATATTTTTAGATGAATTATAAAAATTACTATGCGTATACAGTCTACACACATTACATTACATTTAATTAATCCTAAGTTAATTTGCACTCTCTAAATATTTAATACATAAAAGTAATAACAAATATCATGCAAATATATATTTGTGACTTTTTTTCCTGTGACTTTTTTTTCTGTGATTTTTTTCTGTGTTTTTTTTCCTACAATCTTCCATCATAGCTGGTTGATGTTATACTTTTTTTTCTAAATTAAAAACAAAACAAAATACCTGAGTGGAATATCATGTATTGTATAAAATCGTGCATAGAATATAGAAAATAGTGTCGTGTTTTAATTATTCAGCCATTTTTATTATATCCAAAATAGGACCCTAATGGAAAACTATAAGTAAAGCACTTGTGTAAAGATGAGATCACAGCACCACCCTAGAGGCCAGGCAGTGGACTAAATAGGTAACTCTTCAGTAACTCTGAGGAAAAACTAGTAGTGTGTGACTACTCATAATATTTTTGACACAAAAAGCCTCCATTGTAATGGTGTTTGACATAGGTGTTATGTTAGGCTGATTGTGAAAAGAATATGCATACCCGCATAAGTCAGCTTTCATGTTTTTTAAAGAACATTTTTATTTATATTTCTTGATTATTTCTGAAAATATTATTTTTTTTTTAAATTTGATTATTTAGTTATGGAGCTAAAGGATAGAAAAAAAAGAGAAGCTGATATAGAAGTATTACCAAGTGTTTTAGCGATCAAGCAAGAACTACATGTGGACAACCAGCCATATACTGTCAATATAATTTCATCTGAATACATAAAACAAGAGGAGTTTACAGAAATTGATGACACAAAAGCAAATGTATTGTCTACATGTGAAAACAAAAATCATAATTTATTATCAGAATTTACAACACATGTAGACAACAAACCAGATAGACTTGATTTATTTTCAGTTTTTGAAGATATAAAACCTGCTGCTCTTACTGACAATATTTCTAATATAAAGATAGAGATATCAACTGATTTACCAGAGCTTAATAATATTCAGATAAACAACAATGAAAATCCAACATCAAATCAGGTTGAATTATTAAAGCAGTGTAAGAAGAAAAACTTAAAATCTTCAATGTTTAAAACTCTTCTAGTAAAATGTAAAGAATCACACACAAGTGTGAGGTCATATGAGTGTAATTTGTGTCATAAAAAGTTTGCTACAAGAAGTAAACGAAATCAACATAAATCTATTCATTCAGGAGAGAGGCTATGTGGGTGTTACCTGTGTGATCAAAGGTTTCCCTTAAATAGTAAACTCAACCAACATGGACAATTTCACAAAATAGTGAGAGCAAAAAAGTGTGATGCGAACAATAAAATGTTAGGTTCAAAGAGGAATCTAAATCAACATAAAGCAATTCATTCAGGACAGAGGCTACATGAGTGTGATATTTGTCATATAAAGTTTACTAGAAGAAGTAACCTAAATAAACATAAAGCTACTCACTCAGCAGATAAGTCACATGACTTTAATATGTGTGATAAAAAGTTTGCTACTAGGACATATCTAAAACAACATAATAAAGCAATTCATTTAGGAGAAAGGTTACAAGAATGTGGAGTCTGTCATAAAAAATTTACTACAAGAGGTAATCTAAATCAACATATAGCTATTCATTCAGCGGAAAAGTCACACAAGTGTGATGTATGTGATAAAAAATTTGCTTCAAAGAGGTATCTAAATCAACATAAAGCAATTCATTCAGGAGAGGGGCTACATGAATGTGATGTATGTCATAAAAAATTTATTTACAGGACCAACCTTATTAAACATAAAGTAATTCATTCACCAGAAAAGTCACATGAGTGTGATGTATGTCATAAACTATTTACTTCAAAGAGTAATCTAAATCAACATAAAGCAATTCATTCAGGACAAAAGCTACATGAATGTGATGCATGTCGTAAAAGGTTTTCTAGAAAGTCCTCCCTAAACCAACACGGAGCAATTCATTCAGCCGAAAAGTCTCATGAGTGTGATGTGTGTCATAAAAAGTTTTCTAGAAAGTCCTCACTAAAGCTACATAAATTACTTCATTCCACTGAAAAGTTTACTACCAGTTCTACTCTAATTAAACATAAAATAATTCATTCAGCAGAAAAGTCACACGAGTGTGATGTGTGCCATAAAACATTTACTACCAAGGGTAACCGAAATATACATAAAACAGTTCATTTAGAAGAAAAGCTTCATGAATGTGATGTGTGTCATAAAAGGTTTTCTAGAAAGTCTTACCTCAAGCAACACAGAGCAATTCATTCAGCTGAAAGGTCTCATGAGTGTGATGTATGTCATAAAAAATTTGCAATAAGGACTAACCTAAATCACCATAAAGCTATTCATTCAGGAGAGGGGCTACATGAATGTGATGTGTGTTGTAAAAAGTTTTCTAGAAAGTCCTACCTAAGGCTACATAAATTAATTCATTCCAATGAAAAGATACAAGAGCGTGATGTACATCATAAAAAATTTGTTTCAAAGAGTCATGTAAATCATCATAAAGCTATTCATTCAGGAGAGAGTGTACATGAATGTGATATGTGCCATAAAAAGTTAAATACCAGTTCTACTCTAATTCAACATAAAGCAATTCATTCAGCAGAAAAGTTATATGAGTGTGATGTCTGTCATACAAAGTTTACCACCAAGGGTAACCGAAATCTACATAAAACAGTTCATTCAGATGAAAAGCTACATGAATGTGATGTGTGTCATAAAAGGTTTTCTAGAAAGTCTTACCTAATGGAACACAGAGCAATTCATTCAGCAGAAAAGAAACATGAGTGTGATGTATGTCATAAAAAATTTGCAACAAGGACTAACCTAAATCACCATGAAGCTATTCATTCAATAGAGAGTTTACATGAATGTGATGTTTGTCATAAAAAGTTTTCTAGAAAGTCCTACCTAAGGCTACATAAATTAATTCATTCCACTGAAAATTTACCAGAGTGTGATATATGTCATAAAAAATTTACTTCGAATTGGAATCTAAATCAACATAAAGCTATTCATTCAGGAGAGAGGCTACATGAATGTGATGTTTGTCATAAAAAGTTTATTACCAGGGGTAACCTAAATCAACATAAAGCTATTCATTCAGGAGAGAGGATACATGAATGTGATGTGTGCCATAAAAAGTTTATTACCAGTTCTACTCTAAATCAACATAAAGCAATTCATTCAGCACGAAAGTTATATGAGTGTGATGTTTGTCATAAAAAGTTTACCACCAAGGTTAACCTAAATAAACATAAAGCAATTCATTCAGCACGAAAGTTATATGAGTGTGATGTCTGTCATAAAAAGTTTACCACCAAGTTTAACCTAAATCGACATAAAAGTAAAACAATTCATTCAGCACTAAAGGTCACATAAGTGTTATGTGTGTCATAGAAAGTTTGCTACAAGGATTTACCAAAAATCAACATGAAGCTATTATGGAATAGCACCATATAAGTGTGATGTGCGTTATCAAGAGTTTTCTTAAAATAAAAACTAAATCACATGAGTGATTTATGCTATTAAAAGTTTTGCTACAAGGAGTAATCTTTATCAACACAAAGCAAGTTATACGGCAGAGGTTGCATGAGAGTGATTTGTGTAATAGAAAGTTTCTGTTGATAATTACTTTAAAATGCCATCAATAATTGATTCAGAAGTAGGTCAAATTAAACATTTACAAATAAAGTATGTGTAAACAAATTCATTTAAAATTGATTAAATTATATTTCTATACTGTAAAATGATGCAAGGGGTCAGCCCTTTATGATGCCCCCCCCCCCCCCGACTCCTCCCTTTGTGGACATCTACAAAAATTTAGTATATCTTGCAAAAGTCACTACCAATTGACTATTTAAATACCTAAAAACTGACACATACTTCGACTACTTCAACGTTAAGTTCAACATGCCGACCTAGTCAATTTTTTTGTCTCTCCCCACCCCCCACCCCTTGTGCTGACTTCATACATGGATGACCCCTAAGCAATAGAGACAACATGAGTATAACATTGTTCATAATAAAGTTAGCTTTTATCAAGCAAATTATTTAAGAGAGGTCAAATTTATGTTCTTAATGTGTAAACACAAATCTTGATTTCTTATGAGACTTTAAACTTGAAATAAATTAAAACACACAAAAAAAACAGATAAACAATGATTTTTATACATTTGAGAATATAAAATTTGATGTTTTAAAGCAGAGGAAATCTTTTCCTTAGAGAAAACTGTAATTGACATTTTTTTCCAAAAAAAAAAAAGACTGCTGTGTGTGTCTTAACAAGTTTACTTAAAGTTATGTCCAAAAAGATCTGAATTTTTTTTGTGCTTCACAATTTCCATTTGAAAAAGATTCCTTCTTATTACTATTAGTATTAGTGAAATTTGTGCATGATCTGTGTAAGTTATGAATATCATCCATGTTGTGCATGATTTCATTTTTGCAATTAATTTAAATTAAATCTATATCATTTGTTTTCTACTTCCTTTGATAACCTTGTTAAAACTTCATTAAAATCAAAACTTTTTTCATAATAAAGTTGAATTTTTTTTCTGAAAATTTGGTCGTTTTGTATGTGTTTGTATTGCAAGAGAGCAGAGGCGTAGCGACCCATATCGGGCACCAGGCATGAAGTTTCAATTTTGTGACCACCTCCCATTTATATTATATTTATTCATGTTAGTGGGAAAAAACGTCCTTACCCAGTTGAACAGGTTGGTGGCGCTTTTTTAACCAGTCACTAGCTTTTACTTTGTTACCACTTTGACTGTGTATAATAATTCAATACTTTAGCTTAAAATTTAAATGAGCTTTTAAATATTTTTTTACCTCTTTTGGCACCGCCTTAGTGATGGCGCTCGGGACAGCCGCTGCAAGAGAGAGTGAGCCTTAATATATTATACTGTTGATGTAACTGATATATAACTTTTTTAAAATAATGTTTGAATATTTTAAAATTCCAAATAAATATATATATATATATATATATATATATATATATATATATATATATATATATATAAAGCAATGTATGTGTGTCTGTGTGCATTACCGCACCTCTTATCACATCGCCGTGAAACTTTGGGAAGTTGTTGAGGATACTCCTGGGGAGTTTACTGCGAAAAAAAAAATATTTCAATTTCGCCCCGGTAGTGCGCGTTTCGTTTTTTCTCTATACGGTATATAAAAATAAAAGTCGATTGAAATTTTACACCGTTCACCCGATCGCCGTTAAACTGTGTGTAGTTGATATGAACATGACAGGGAAGGTTTCTGCAAAAAAATCTTTTTTAATTTCGCAAGGGCGGAGCCCCGGGAGGGTTCGATTTTTCTCTATATATAGTACATACAAATTAAAAGTCGATTGCAGTTTCACACCATTCATAAGATCGATATCACACTTTGGGGAGTTGATTAGAACACTCCAGGGAAGGGTTCTGATAAATCTTAAATAATCTTAATTCGTAAGGGCAGTGCCACGGGAGGGTGCGATTTGTCTCTATATACGATATATAAAAATTAAAGTCGAATACAATCTAACACCGTTCATCAGAGTGCTATGAAACTTTGGGGAGCTGATAAGAACACTCCAACGGAGGTTTCTGTAAAACAATATTTTTTTTTTAATTTCGCAAGGTCGGTGCCATAGGAGGGTGCGATTTTTCTCTATATACGGTATATAAAAATAAAAGTCAATTGCAGTTTTACACAGTTCATCCGATCGCCGTTAAGGATGCGATTTTGGCGCCCTGGTCTTTCCCGTGAGCGCTATGGTGACTACGTTCGGTCTAAACAGTGTGATAGACAATGGATAAGATGGGGCGTTATAGTCGCTCAATAAATTTAATCAGTTGCCCTGGTATGGTGTGATTTGGCTGCGAAGACAAATTTCAGTTTTGGCCCCCAAAAGCTCAGATGGCCCACTGAGGGCTATGTAATACGCTTAACTTTAATAATCAGAAAAATTAACCTAGTTTAGATTATTATATGGGATGTTTCTTTTTGTCCTTAAAAAAATCCATACAGTTTCGTCACTTTGCGAATGATGCAATAAGCATCTATTTTTAGACGATCCAATCAGAAATTGAGATCAAGCATCTAATAATAGACCATTAGTAACGCTAACATATTGCATCAGTCACACTGATGTTTAAAACGTCAAATAATATTTTTTTTCGTGTTAAAGAAAAAATCTTGTTCATTTGTGTCACATTGTTAACAGGATGCTATTTGGCACCCTGGGTTATCATATGAGCATTATGGCGCCTATGTTAGTTTTAAGTAGCCAGGGACCGTACGCGGCAACTCTGCGGTAGTGTAACTGGGGGCTCCCGAGAGCGCCCCTCTACATCCTTGACACATGGGTGGTCACCGAAGTGTGTTTTACCGCATTATTTCGCTGAGTGCTTAACGTACACTAAACCAGTGTCCCGATATTTATGATCCAAGCGCAGGCATTGTTTACATTCAAATAACTCAGTTTTAGAAAACAAGGTCACGCGTCTTAAGAACATAGGATTGGTAAAGCATTGATGAAACCCGTATTAATAGTCTTATATTATCCGTCAGACTTACTTCTATCTGCGCGGGGTACGGGTACGCTAGTAATTAATATTTCTTTCCTCACTGTAAAATATATGTCAGCACACTTGATATTCACAGAGAATTAGGTTAGCAAGCAAGCGACGCGTTGAGCGACCTTTTTTTTTTTTTTTCTTAATACTTTTATTTGCAATTAAAACAAGTACATCAACATCACATTTTTTACATAGTTTCAAATGAAAACGAAAGGTTTTGAACATGTACATAATGAATATTTACATGATGTCATGTATATGATTATAACAAAAATTATAAAAGATGGCAGTAAAAGGGGTGAAGGTCAAATAAACGTGTCAGAAGTCTGGGTGGGGAGTGGAAAGGATATTTTTCCGAGAATGACAAAGGGCCAGTGGAGCATTTTCAATGTAGGGAAACAAATTTAGTTGACTAGTTAAAAGAGTGTTTATTTATGTACTGGTCGCATTGAGTTTTCAAAAGGTTGCTGTGTAAAAAAAAATGAGGGGAAAGAAACAAGATTTAGAACTTTAAAAAGTAAATGAATAGATATTCAAAATTGATGTTGGGGTGGGTGGTGGGGTCGTTGGAACAGTTAAAGGGAAAGTGGTGTTTTCATGTCTGAGGGTTTGACGAACAGATTGCTGTGTGAGCGAATTAGTGGGAGGGTGAAAGGTTGGTATGTTCAAGTCGGTGTTTATGTTTAGATGAATGTTTAGTACCGACAGGTTAGGGGTGGGTAGGCGTGTAGCTATCACGTGTAGGGATACAGTGGAGTTTTATAGATTAAAAAAATTGGTGTTCACATAAAAGAGTTAGTAAAGTTAACGAAACAACTGTAAGTGTTAATTTGGTGATAATACAATGAATACAAAAGGAGTACGGGTCATTGGGGTCATTTGTACGTTGTGGACCAAAGTACCTTACATATATGATAATAGTAATATAGTAACAAATGATAGCTTTACAATGTTTGTAAGCTTTATAAATTAAACAATACACAAAAAGCAACAATAGGAAAATGAAATGCCAAATGATAAATGATGCGACACAAAGTGGGGACATGGGGGTTGAGGGGTGGGAGTTACATTGATGTTGTTAGAAATGTATTTGGATAATACATCATTGTCACTGTTTAACATAGTACTTCATCACAGGGGTGGTGGTGATGGGGACGAGGGGATGCAGTTTTTAGGGGAAATTTGATATTGGGATCATGAGGTTTAGGGGCGGGGGCGGAGAGGGTGTGATGAAAGGGGGATGTGTCAGTTCGATTAGGCGTTCCAGGTGGCAAAAGCAGTGTAATATGTTCTTTACGTTTTGGTGTTGTTAATTATGGTATATGTGTTTGAGTGCTGTCATTGTCGAGTCGTCTACGATAAGTCAAGTCTAGTACGTGTCCCGTGAACTGTACCTTGTCGTGTTTTGCTTTTATTCTGCTGTTCCAAATAGTCTGTCTATATATAGCTACCGTCCTTGCTTTTTGCTCTAGGTCCGTCCTATCTCTTTGTATTGGGATTTTGTTTAGAGTTATGACTATATCGATATTGTAGGTCTCGTTTTTTATTATTTAGTTTTCTAGCGTCTTTTTCATGTTTTGTATGGTGGGGCATTCTAAATAGATGTGCGTTTCGGTTTCGGGTGTGTTTTGTCTGCATAGTGGGCAAAATGGTTTCTGTTGTTTTGCTAGGGGTGTTGAATTGTAGATGAGTCTGTAAGTTTTTTCCCTGGTTTTGGGTTTGATGGTTTTGAGGTGTAGGTTTCTGAAGGTGTCCATTGTGTCTGTTAGAGCGTATTTCCTACACCATTGAATTCTGTTGTATAGTGGAGTTGAGAGCTTTTGCACTAACTTTTTGTAAATGTTTTGTGACTGTTTGTGAACAAGTTTTTC